ACTTGTGGCTTCTTGCCTACTTTTTCATCACTGTTGTAAGTGTGAACAGTTGCTAAACAAGGCAATCACTAAACAAGGACTACCTCTATCTATCTATCTATCTATCTATCTATCTATCTATCTATCCATGAAAACTGAGGAGAAAAACAAAAGGGTTTCCAAATCAGAAAAGGTTTGGTGGAGACAGCCAAACTACTAGATCCCATAGAGATCTCCCTGATTAATGGAATTATACCTTCATTCTGAAGAAGAAAAGGTCAGCCACAACAGTCAGGGTGCACAACAAATCAGAAATGTCTATATTGAAAAAATATGTAGGGTACCAGTTTAAATAAAGATATCACCAGATGGTGAGGCCTACATTAATTTTAGAAACACATATAGATGACTAAGTAATTGATAGGGATGATTAAGACCATTGTCAGTGGGGAGAACATACAGAAGTATCATCACAGCTAATCCTACATGCTAGTGTTTGTCACACACCCCAGAGACATAGTAAATGTTTGGCCCATTCAATAATCTTTGTTCTCACTTGGAGACTTGCAAGACCATACCTCATCCATAGGTTGATCCAGAACCTCTGCCAGGTAGCGCTTTTGGATCCCAACCATAAATGGTGTGGGACAGCAGACTGTGCTGAGAAGCTTCTCTGGAACCACCGGGATGTATGTATGGGCCCAAGTAAATGGGTAAAGAAGAGCAGCAGCTGAGTGAATGCACGTGGAGAGGGAGCTGAAAGGGAGCCAATGTTACAGATTAGAATATAAAGCAGTATTTTAAAAGTAAGGAGTGTATCTAAATAATCAGTTGAACGTGGTGCATAAATGCCCTTTGCAACTTTATTGTTTCATTGTTCAAATATATTCCCACTGCTGTCTTAAAGGATTGAAAAAATATTACTGATTTTAAAACTATACAGATGTAATTGTGTTCCTAACAGTCAAATATATTTCTACTTCATTCTGCAATTAATCTTAGCAAGTACCTGGGAAACCTCCTATCTCCAATAGCTCCAGAGCTGTAAATAAGATGCACCCCAGCTCTCGCTCTCTCACCCCACTTTTGCCCTTTGGACAATAATACAGCCAGCTCCTGAATCAACGGGATCCTTCTTTGTTACTGCCCTGTTGCTTCAAAGATAGGGAATTCTCTTGATGGTGACCCCAAAATGGGAAAGGTATGGTTTTATAAATGCATTGCAGCCATAGTGAAAACCTCTAAGTTAAGAAAACCTTCCAATCTAAATGTTCTGTTGAAAAACTTAACATGTCATAACTATCAGGCCATATCGAAATACTTTATACATATAAAAAGGGAGCCTGTATGTATTTGTCCACCTGCCACATGGACACTCATTTCACAAATGAATAAACCAAAGTGATAACAAGTTATAAAATGGAAACCTGATCCAGAGCAAATGCTACGCTCCAGTCCCACTAACTGGCAAAGCACAACTGACTTACTCACTGATTGGGACAAGCACAAAACTGCTTCCTCTAGGCCGAAGGCTCAGCGTTTACCTGAGCTCATCAGCCAGGAAGACTATCCGTCGCTCCAGAACTACAGAGGCAAATACCAGAAGTATCTTCTCAGGACTGAGGCACTGTAGAAGGGCCTGAAATTCCACATGCTCCAGGTGAGAATCCAATGGCCGGGTCAGCTCAATTTGCTAAAAGCATAACAGGATAAAGTTAACATAGTAATCAAGGCTGCGTACAGTTTGTCTAAAAAATAATAATTTTCACTGGGATTAGGATATATCTTTTTTCCAGTTCTGAATGAATGATTATGACAGCTGTAATTGCATCCTTAAAATTTAAAATAGGGGCCTCTGGGGAGGCAATGCTAAAATATGGCTTAATGCAACAAGGCGAAAGTAACAAGCTTCAGGCTCTCATCTACATAAAATCAGGGGAACTCTGGTTAGTTTAAAATATTTGTTCACATAAACCTATATCAAATCAAAATGTATTATTCTGGTTTGCTCAAACAAGCCATTGTTTGAGCTAATGAGAATTTTTCTGGTTCTGTCAAAAATTGGGAGGTGTCTGGTAGCACCTTTTCAGACGAACAAATTTTATTAAAAAGCATAAATTTTCATAAGCTTTCAAGAGCTACAGCTCACTTTATCAGGTGCCTCAGTGAGTTGATGAAGTGAGCTATAGCTCAGAAAGGTTTATGCCATTTTACCTTAATAAAAGTTTGAAAAAAAGAAGAAGAAAAGTTTATGCCATTTAACATAATTTTGAGTTGGAGAAGATGCTACCAAACCCTTCTGATTTTTGGCTACCATAGACTAACACAGCTCTCCTCCTCCAATGTCTGTCAGGTTCTCCTGGCCTGGACTCAGCAATAAATCATGGATCTCCTGGCATTTCATGACTTCAGCCAGGCCTGGCAGAAATTCACAGAGATGGCTCCACTAGATTGAAATCTTAATGGAAGATAAGAATGAAGCCACACTCATGAGCTGATTGGTCACGGCCAGTGAGAAGATGCAAATGACTTTCATTGCCTTTGGGTTTAAACTTGTGGCTTCTTGCCTTTATGAACAAATGTGTATTTAGAACAGGCCTTAGAAGATCTGAAACTGAGTGATTGTTGCATATTTACATAATGGTCATCTCCAGCCTGGAAATAAATTATCCTTGCCTCAACCTTCACAAATTCAGCTGTAATCCAGAACTCTACAGTTAAGTGGAAAAAAAAGCTCTTGATCACCTCCTTGTTGCTATGCAAGAGAAGATGGGAGAGCAGATGCACAAGTGGAGGAGGGACATCATTGTGTTCACACACTTCAGCACACTATGGTTTGATTTAGCAATCCATAACACTAAATTATAAACTACAGTTTGCAGGAACACAGTGACTAGGTTCACACTTCAGATAAAATGAAACAAACCACACTGGGTCTTAGCATTATATACAGAGCCACTATCTATATTTATCACGGCCCAGGAAACAGCCACGAGGTTACAAAATTAGTCTTCTGTCATTCTATCATCTTTTTGATATACACTGAGAAGCATATACACAATTTGGAAATGTTTTGGAAGTGGAGTTTTGCACCTCTTCTGAGCATGCCACCTCCCCTCTCTGCTATTCATTAAGGCTTCTGCTGCTATTGGCATTACTATACTATCTGCTCTTGGTGCAGTTCAATGGTTGAAATAATCTGTTTTCCCAAAAAGCCAGCTCAACACGAGGCTAGTGCAAATAAGTTTTCTATGCCCATATAAGGCTAATGGAGAGATGCAAATGCTTTTGAGGAAAATGTATTCCGCCCTCCATCAAACTCCTCCAGCTGTGTGTGGCACTGAGCAGGCCCGGAAACCAACACCAAGACTTCATCTTCTGACAGCTGACAGAAGCCTCTGATACCAAAACAGGAAGTCAAAAGTCGGTATAGCAAAGCCCACAGAAGACAGCGCAACAGAGCAAGGCAAGTCTGTGTTTTGTGATGGATTGTTGCACTGTTGTGACGAGGAGGACAGAAACTGCATTTCTCCCAAAATGACTATTAAATACATAGGCTTCCCTTGTATCTGGAAATCACACCTGACGGTGAAACACATTCCAATTTCTTTTTAAAGATTTGTCTGCACCAATTACCAATTGCCAAATGCATCCCTCGAAGATCTGGAGAATACGGACAAGAATAGGCCATGAGCTTTCCTAAGCGAAGACCCTTGATACAGAATTGCAAACTGAATCTGGCAAAATACCACCCAGAATACAATAAGGGCATGGTAAGATCTGTTTCACATTATTGCAGTTTGATACTTTGTCATCAGCTGTGGATTATAGAAAGAAAATTATGTGGAAAGGGCCTCCCCAGACAGTCTGGGAATACTGAATCATTGACCCACATTTTACTCTACTGTACTCTTAGCAACTACTAACAGCCCTCATTCCCTAGATGACTGGTTGAGTTTTACATGAAATTCCTCTTGGTAGACAAAAACAACAAAACAATCTGAGCTGTCACTAAATTTGCATTCGAAGCTTACAGATTGATGCATTGCTAATTTAGGGTTGATTATGGGTTATATTAAGTAGAGTACCAGGGTGTCACATTGTTCTTATGTCATTTTGCTGTATTTTATTTTGGTGGGTGTAATAAAGAATAAGCTTTAAAGTGGCCACCAAATTAATATGACAGAAAGGAAAATTACTAAATATATGGGATCACATCAAATGCCATTTTATTTCATTTTACTTACATTGAAATTAAACAAAATCAAATTTACTTTTTATTCTGGCCTCCCATTTTTTTTGGAGCACAGCCACTGAAAAAACAAGTACAGCTCTTGGCCCAAACAAAACTGCGCACTGCTAAACTACACTATGGTCCAACTTACTATTTATTAATTGATTGCTTTCCTATCTTGCCTTTTCCCTGGGAACTCAAGATAGGTTACATAGGGGTTTCCTCTCATTTAATCCCCACAAAAACCCTTGTCAGGCTGGGATGGAGAGCTGAGGCCACAGTCACCCAGTGAACTCTGTGGTCAGGTGGGGATTTGAACCTGAGTCTCCCTGGTTCAAGTCCAGCACTGTAGTCACAATAATTTTCCGGTCCAGTGCAAGTAGGGCTTCCAGATGTACAGGAAGCAAACCATAAAACAGAGCTTCTCATCTGCTCAGTACTCAACTCGTACATTATTTTCATATCTACTTTTAAGTTTTTCATGTCGCAGCAGCTTCTTGACTCTCTGTTTCAATGAAACCGGTTTCAAAACTTCAGTGGTCATTTCCTAGTTTGTCAATCTCAAACATAATTTGTAGGTAGGTTTAGGGGTCATATATAACATGAAACCATATGCATTCAGTAACAGTCCCTTTTATGAGCATCAGCTCCTGCCATCTTGAATTGCTGCCATTCTTGATTTAATTACAAACTATATTGAGAGATACATGGACCTTCATCCCCAAGCTTACATTATAGTTGGGGGTGATTTTAATGCATAATTGAGTCCAGATGACCAAACTCTGCCCATTTCCAAGACTATCATGTGCAGGCCAGTGCGGGCTATCCCCTTCCCATACATTTGGCTGAAGATACAACCAGCAATTTTGTAAGCTATTGCCTGTCCAAATTAACCAATCAACTTGACTTACATATTATGAATATGATCACAGATGACTGACATGCAGAATTTATTCACTGGTCAGGATCCCAAATGTCAACAACTGACTATTGGTACATTTCCCATGATCTTCTAGAAAATGTTATTCAAATGACAGTTGAAGCACAGACAGTGACCACCTTCCACTAATTCTCAGCATTAAATTACTAATTAATCAACCACCCAAAGTTCAGAATGTCCTCCTTTGGAGATTGTTGCAGGACACGTCCATAATAGAACCAAAAGCAAGCTCTTCTGCTATCCAAATTACTACAGTCTCCTGGCACATTACATCAAAAATATCCTCTTCAAGTGCCCCTTGCTAAATTTGTGGGAATGAAGAAACAAGATAAGGCCCTTTTGAGATTTAAAAATAAAGAGTGCTTTAAAGGCAGTTGGTTTTAGCAGCCAAGGATAAAAATTCCACTGCCTTTGAACAATCCATAGTGGGCTATCAGAAAATGATCTGCCCCTCCAATCAGTAAAGTTCCCACAGAGGCATGGGAAACATATCCTAAAGACTTTTACATCTCCTATGAGCAAGAACTGGCAAATCTAAAAACTGAAACAAGAAATATTATAGATTCTTTGAGGTTAAGCAGTGTCACTAGTGGCAACTCCATCCTGTCTGAGATGCTGAAGGAAAATGTCAGCTGGTAGTGAAGGAGAAAATAACTAATAAAACAGTTTGACCTAATAAAATGACAACAAAGATGATTCAATACTTAGCCTAATTCTTGAGAATATAAAATACAAATAACTTACTAAGGGATTGAAACTGCAAACTCAAGGCCTATGTACTGGAGAAGAGGAAGTCAACCCACTGCAGACTCCTAAGTGTTTCTCAAGTCTTGTTGACTAAATAAATCAAAGGCTAAAAATACTAGATTGATATGAATATGGAGTTGGGTGGGCTCTGTCACTAAGGATTCAGACTGTCCTTTTCCCTGTAAACAAGACCATTATATAAGCTTCATCCCTCCCCTCTCTCAGTAGGCAGAACTTTGTATTTTGTCCCCTGCACAGCTCAGTAAATGTGGCGTCGGGGGGGGGGGGAGTTTTTCCCATCAGTAGGCCTCCAATTGGCATCCCTTTTTTCCTATAGTGATCACACAGGTCACACAGCACTGCCATTACTGTCTCAATATTTAAAGGGAGGGGGGCAGGAGGATCCAGCTAATTATCACTCTATACATTTGCTGAGTATGATTAGCAAACTTTATACCCTGCATTTGAATAGTAAATTACAAGACTGGATAGCAATAGAATCAACACTGAGCAAAGAGTTTTCATCCCACCTGTTCTTTATTAGATCATGCCCTGGTCCTATGACATCTACACTTTATGTAGCCTTTATAGATCTCAAATCACCCTTTGATTCTATTTCAAAAACATTTTGGGGGGAGAAATTAAATAATATAAACATGGATAGGCATCTCCTGTTTTCAATTCAACCACCTACAAAAATGTCATGGTTAGAATTAGGTGTAATCCTTGAGGTATTTTGAGTCATCCAATCTCTATTTGAAAGGGAGTTAGACAAAGCTATATTTTAGCCCTCACCTTATTTAATCTCTATTTAAACTCCCTAGTAATTAGATTATCAGATTCAAGTTTCCACCCCCAAGACTGCAGGCATAGATATTCCAGTTCTTCTCTATGCTAATGATGCAGCTCTCCTTTCATTAATACCAGTAGGACTTAGATGAACATTCAGACCTTTTACCCATTACTGCTGAAAGTATCTTCTGATAATTAATGACCAGAAAACCAAGTGGTTGTTCTTGCCAGAAAACCTAAAAGATTTAAATGAGTTATCAAGGAGAAAGAAATTAAATAGAATAAGAATTTTGAATATTCAGGGGTAGTGCTCCAGGCCACAGATGCCTGGAAGATGCATACTGATCAAATTATTTCACAAGCACAAAAGAATGCAAGAGCCATCATGAAATTTATCCAGATAAAGAGTAGGCAGTGCATACAAGCAGCTCTGAAATTCTTCATAGGAAAAGTTATGGCCCAAATACTTTCTGGTGCCCGACTGGGATCATGTTTGCCTCACTTGAGGTCATATGAACAAAGTTTTTGCAAACACTCTTCCAAGTGCCAAGATGCATATCTAACGTGACTCTCAGAATAGCAGTGAGGAAACCAAAAGTGGGCAAGGTTGTTAATACTCCCTTATTGGCTTAAATGCCACTTTTTCCTGTCAGGACTGATTCCAATAGTCCTGGCAGACCAATTTCAATCCTTGGGGCAACCAGCAATTTCGATGACACTTACCGGTTATGGTTGCTACTGAGCAACTACTCCTTTTAGAAAACACTCAGGCACAAAGAATAACTACAGAAATGGCTCTAGATATTTATAAACAAAGCATTATGGGGATTGGGCATAGCCAAACACATGGAAGGTCCTTTTAATCACCATCACAATTACTGATAGACACTCTCTCAAGCAGAGGCCAATCTTTTCAACTTAAACTTATTACAGCTTATTTCTTGTTATTAACCAAACCAATCTTATTAATCCTATGGAAGTTTGATTGTTTTTCTTAAAACTTGTTGGGCGGTATTGGTTTATTGGTATTGGTTTTCTTAACATATTAATATTTTATTCGGCCCTTAATTTAGTTTTGAATGTTTAAGTAAATTTAACTTTTATCAGTATTTTATCATTGATATCTTATTTTAGTTTACTCTTCTTTTAATATTTTTATTATCTTAAGGAATGCATTTCTTTTATTCCTCATGTGCATCTATTTAATCTTATTTTTTTGGTTCTTAATTTTTCTGACATTTTCTAATTTCTGTTATGAAGTTGCATTGATCACTGGTCAACGACCATAATAAATTTGACTGACTGACTTAATTACAAGCCATGCTAGAACCAGCCAAAAGTATTTCAAGAAGGCACATACTTCTGTCCCAGACTCAGGGATGAAGCTTTTAATGGTGACAGTTCTTCCTGGTGCTGGAAAGGGAGATTCACGTAGACCTTGCATAAAGGGGTAGACGACTGCTGCAGAAATCTGTCGTCTCTTCTCTACTTCGTCCAAAATCTGTAAGAAGAAAGAGGATACCCATCACTTTGCAGCTCCCCAATTCTACTCCTGACAGTGGTTTTCCTCCTTCTGAAATTATTCAAAACCAACAAAGTCCTAAGCAAAGTAGTGATGCATGATAAACAAGACCTGATACCATCTCCTCCTGAATCATGTTTTTCCTTCAAAGGCATTACATCCTCAGAACCATTGTGTAAGGCCAAAAAGGCCAGGAAATAGTAAGAGTGATCAGATAATGACTAAGCCAAGCTTGAAGAACATCAATGGATCCAGTCATTTTTGTTCTCCTTTCGCATAAGGAAACTAATTGAAAAGGCACAGTTAATCAAGTTACATTTGGACTTGAAAACTATGATTGAGGTGACATTCTAAATTTAGCTCAAAGCTGCGGTTAACTGTGGCTTCCTGTATTGTTCATTTGCACCCCAAGTTATTCAAAACAGCTGAATTATCTGAACTGGGCCACTGTTTTCCATCTTCAAGTTACAATACTATATTGCTTTTTCATTCTAATAATGGTAAAATTCTCTACATGAAAATATATTTCTCTGAGTAGCCATAGCCAATCCCCAAATATCTGGGATGAGGGACATGACTTCCTTTTCTCTCCTTTTTTGTGTGAAAGATCAGAAGAAGAAAAAATATAGAAAGTTCATCTTATGATGAAACAAGATCAGGAATATCAGAACATTTATTTCTGCCTATGCTACACAGTGAAGGGATGAATGTATTTGGTATTTGGGGGAGTGGGGCTATTGACCATCCAGAAAACATACCTTTGAAAATAGTCCAAAACAACCAAGGCAGCTTACAATGCAGTAAACTTCAGGGAGACGAGCATCTCGTCCAGAAGGCTGAAAAGCAGTGTTGTGTACAGAAAAAGTTAGCCACCATTAAATTTATTTTTTAAATTAAAATAATATTTCACCATTAAATTTCACAACTATATTATGCAAATATACAAAAATACTATAGCAGTAAATACATTTGCTTAACACAAATTCCCAACTTTTGATATAGGGATCAATGCCAATCCAAAATAATGTTGACAGTCTCTGGTGAAGGTCCATATGCCTATGGCCAAAACTTCAGTATATTGCAAAATCTAGGAAGAATTTGGCTTTTTCATCCAAAATCTTGCAATCTTTCAGGCAGGTACATGATAATGTTGCCAGATTTTGTATGATTTTTATTTTTTCATTCAAAAAACATTAAATTCCACTTTGGGGTTCCAAGGGACATCAAAAAGGGTCATTTGTGCTATGGAATCCACAGGCATTGCACTGCTGACCTCTGGATTATATGGTGGTCTTCAGAAGCTTTTAAAGGTGACTTAGTGGGCTGCATAATATAGAAGTTAGGAACTACTGGCATAAATCACATGCAAGGTTAAGCACCCTAAACTAATTTTCAAGTGGCCAAATACAGAAGCTACAGTACATAAAATGGCCTCTGTTGAGTCAGGGTTACACCTGTTCTATACTACCTCAGTGGGATCTTTGTAAACATAATATGATCATTCAGGACGAAGAGGAAATAAACCAAGCTACAGATCAGCACCCTGGCTATTGGAATGCTCTGACTCACTCCCTTTCTTAAACATTTATCCCATTAAATGTAGAACATAAGAAAGTGACATTTCTGGATGATTTCTTTTTGACAATCTCCCACAGAATATGCACATTGGATTTAAAAGCAGGAAGGAGCCCAGTCTACCTACAGTGAACAAAACAAAAAGTGTTTATTTTTCACAAGCCAGTTCAACTAAATACAGCTCAGTCTTTAACAACTTGCACAGTGTATCTTCTCCAAGAAGCATTTTTATGACATCAAATGAGCCTCCAAACTGTTTAGTCCCACTATTACTTTGAAAATATGATCGTTTTGATATGAGTTTTTTAAATGGAAAAAGCCAGATGTACCCCACCCAAAAGAATCTAATCTGCGACCTAATATCTTCTTGGTGAGGAAAGGGGTGTACTGTCTATTACACTTCCCTCTTAGACTAAAGCACTCAATGAGGACATGGCTGGTTCTGAGTCTGGAGCTTCCCAACCAAGCTACCAGGCATGATGGTAGCACGGCTCAATCTTGGCTGTGCTAAATCCCTATCAAAGATCAATTTTAAAGTACAATATCTTCAGGAAGGAGGGAAACATTTCTAATCTTACCCACCCAAGCCACTTTATTAGTAATTTTTCTCTCAGTGGGAGATATTTCTGTACACAGAATCATACCAAAAGAAAAACAAGCAGGACTGGGTATGAGGAGAAGACCTTAAAACTCCACCCTGTTCAGTTACAGGAATGCCTGTTGGACCTAAATGAACCCAAAGATGTATAATGGTCATGCTTAGCTTAGCTCCCTAAAACGACTACTTCTTGATGCCTAGCCATCCCCTTCCTTTTCCTCTGAACCCCTACCATTGAAACATTTATCACAAATTCCACTGGAGCTGAAGGATTATGAGACTTTTTCCCCAGCCTAAGCTCAAAGTTTAAAGGAATGTTCACCTTGGCCCAGAAGCAGCTTCTGTTAATTATTACACAGCCTTTCAAATGTGCAAAACACTTTAATCCACTTTGGGATATTGTGCCCCACATAATCACAGGACAGGGAGAGTAAGGTTCCACTTGCTGGCACCAATCCCGCCACTCCAATCATATACACTTCATCAACCCTTAATTTATTATGCAGTCAGAGAGTCTTGAGTCATGGCAGATTACTAATTAACAGAAGTTTGTTCTATGGCTTAAATTGTTAATAATTATTTAACTTATTGTATTAATTGGTAGATACTTTACAATTTGCCTTGTTTATATCTTTATATCCCATTCATTCAATAAACTGTTGTCTAAGAACATACAAAATAGCTATTTCCTTTTAATCTATTCCTTGTGCAAGCTGGAGCTCCTGAGACTTATTTTTTTAGCCTTTCCAGCTCAACAGAATGATTGAAAGAAATGACATAAAGGGACTTGGGAGTCTTTTTGTCCATCTGTCAGCAGGATAACTCTCCAAAAACAGAACAGAACTGAACCAAATTTGATGGGGTAGGTGAAGCCAAGAAAATAAATACTGAGTTCAAAAATGGACCGGATTCGGCTGGGGCTGCAGAGAAACAGAATCTAGAAAAATTCTCAAGAATTCTTATGGGACAGAATGCCAGGCAGCTGCTCAGAACGTTGCCGCCTGCTCCATTCTAAACTCTCCTTCCTCTTCCTTCCTAATCATCCGATCTAGAGGCAGCTCTTTTTAAGAGTTTGGGAAGAATCCCAAAAGTCATGCTCTGCAAGCTTGCCCTAACTTTTGTTTTTTTCTAATGCTGTTCAGTCATTAAGTTGTGTCCGACTAAAATTAATACCTGGACAGCAAGCCAATCAATGCAAGGTGATAGTTACAAAACAAACAAAAAGCAGTTTCTCTGGTTTTGCCCCAGGAGATCATTTTAAAGTCTGTTTTCCATAAATATCTGAAGACTAAGCAAGCTCCAAGAAGCAGTAAAAGAAACATGTGAGAAGCCAGTCTTCTTTATGACAAAAGCACTTAAATATTGTGAGGGATAAGATGGTTGTGAAAAATAAGGAACGAAAGGAGGAACTAAGCAGCTGAAGGCAGGGTGGAGTGAGCTACTGACAGGATGATAAAAGATCACTGAAGGGAAAACATGTGTTCTGGGCCGCCAGCTGTGTTTTATATTCGTTTTTCTCAGTGAACTCCATAATGTGAGTCATATAACATGTGCTTTCTTTCACTTCAGACTACCTGCTAACATATCCACTTGTTAAAAAAGGAGGCACAATTGGCTTCAGTTTCTAAAATGTGGTATCTTCATGAAGTGGGTGGCTGCCTCACAGGGCTTGGTATAAAAATATACTGTTACGTATGAGGCGGCTACAGGAAAAAAGGAAAAAGTTTGACTTGGATTAAATAGTTTGTGTACTGCATATAGAAACCAGAAGTCCAGCTGCAAATGGAACAATGTAACCCAGATGCCACTATTTCCTCCAAACTCTGCATACTTCTTCAGAGTCCAGGAACCAAAAAAAAAAAAGGTTTTATATTCTAGAGCAGTGTTTCTCAACCTTGGCAACTTTAAGACATGTGGACTTCAACTCCCAGAATT